ATAGTGACAAGGCGCAGGACCCTGTTGACTTTGACAATGGCCAGTGGAAATTCGCGGAGAGTGCTCCATGCCAACCTCTGAACATTTTCTGAGATCCCATACTCCTCAAATATTTCCATCCTTGGATAAGTAAGTAAAAGCTTGAGACTGACTGACTGACTGACTGACCACCTGAGTGATGATGGGTAGTTATTTGACACAAGTGACAGCGACAACTTCATACACACCAACACCACTGCTAATTGGTGACAAGATGCAAAACTGCATCGTGAGCCTCACCTTTGTCATCTGTCTCTGCATCCCGTGGTGGCGATTCCTCCGATTCCCCCTCATACTTCAGTTCCTCCTCCTCCTCCAGCACTTCTTCAAACTTGTCCACTGGGCTAGCTGGGGACTTGGTGAGTGGCAAGCTACCAGGTACCGAAGCCTCTTTGCTCACAGACTCAGACGTTGCAGGAGATGAAGCTTTGCTCTCAGGAACTGCAGATTTGCTCACAAGAGGCGCATATTTGCTCAAAGTGGCAACTGGACGACGAGACTCAGCGTGAGTTCCAGCAGCTTCTGATGGACAAGGAGCTGCATGATGAGACTCAGTGTGAGTTGCACAAGCTTCTGTGACAGTTCCAGTCCACCAGGGAGGAGGAGGAGGCTCAATGCCAGGAGGAGGCTGCGCCATTTGCCATCCAGACGGTGATCTAAGAAAAGGAGGCGCAGCATGGCCCTCAGCCTTTGCCGATGACGCTGACGCTGATGAAGCTCTTGCAGGCTCACTGGGTGGTCTGGCCTCGGAATTAAAACAACTTCACACTCAGAATGTCTCAGCACATTAGGCGACTAGAACTCTCAATGAACAGCCAGGACTTGATTCAATTTCAACGAATAGATCAACATGTTTCACTGTCAAATATTGAATTCCAAGATACTTTCTTCAGGAGGATTGAGGAAGTCCGACAGCAGAAACTTCCTGATCAAATTGCTTCAAAAGACTGTTCACCATTTATTATATTGCGTCACACCTTCCAATTTGCCAATGCCGTTACAATTTACAGGAAGCCAGGTGTTGGGAAGGTCTGGACATAATTGGTGACAGTCTGATTCAGAAGGTGCTCAAAGTTTCCAAAGTCCCAGCTCGGAAGTGATTGGGTGATCTTGTCCTCTGCTTCCCTCCTGAGACCAAACTTAAACAAACAACCAATGACATGATCAAAACAAATGACAATTACTAGTGACTCCAGCCAATACTCCAAGACTCCATGCAATCTGACCAGAAAGGAAATCCTCCACGGTGGTGAGATCACCATGGAAGTCCGAAGACATGCTCCCAAAGGTCACAAGGACCTGGCAGCCTGCTGCCTTAATTACATGGGCGATTCTAACGCTCCTCAACTCTCAGAAATTGTTTCACCTGCCACACCCAATGATGAATCAATGACACATTCACATTGCCACATGTCAATGTCAATTAATGAGGCAGAGATACTATCAAAAGAGCGCTAAGGAGGATTGATCCAGCCACAGTACGGTGGTAACCTGCGTTGCAGCTCAGCCTCAGATTGACTAATTACTAATGAATGACAATTACTTACTGACACCAACAGTGCACTTTCACAAAACAGCAACTGACATCTGACTGATATTCAATGACTGACAGAACGACACAACTAGTAATTAACGTGTATCATTCAATCATGCTTGCCCAGTGGCTTGACCAATACCGCTGGCTTGTTGATGATCTCTTCCATCAGTTCGGCACAAAGTTCTCACGAGTGAAGACCTCATCAATACATGATTGACAAAACCACGACCTTAGTCACACTTTGAAGTGACTTAGTTGCTTCATTGATTGAGTGACTCACAGACTTGATGTGAAACACTGCAGTGAACTGGCTCAGCTCAGCTCAGACAAGGCACTTCCTTCCGGGCCTTCCATGTAGCCCCACTCACGCGGTTCTGCTTCTGGCCTTTGCCCTTACCTGGGTCCCTGGGAAGGGCCCTGGCCATATCATGGTAAACACTCACCACACTCCTGAACCTGTTCTTCCCGGGGAACGAGTTCGCAGAGGCTCCTTTGAGGCCAACGACGACTACCTTCTTGGGCCAGTTGCACCAGGTGGAGCTGCATGGTTGTACATAATGCCAGTGTCATTTGCCTCAGCCTTGGTTGGGTGTACACAACTGACTGACCGCAGGATACACAGCTGAAACATGCAACTGACAGCATAGACAGGTTCTTAAATTTCAGCTCGAGCTTTTACCAAGTCACTTGAGCTTCTCCTGCTCGATACACATTCATTGTGGTATTTGAATTTGCGATCTGGGAATCCATGGCTGACATTGATCCTGGGAATCCACTCAAGTCTCTTTGCTTTAAACAGTAACACTCAAGTCTCTTTGCTTCAAGCAGCCTCAGATCACTGGAACAACATGAGCATCAAATCAGCCCACTAACTTGCAGCTATGGCTCTTCTCAATCTCCACCTTGCAGGATTTCAGAACCCACCCAGATAGGTTGCGAATTCCCTTGTTTTGGCTGGAGTGGCGCCTGAGTCCGTGGCGCCTCTGTGGCGCCATTTACAGCCCAAATCTAATCAAATCATCCAATTCAATTCAATTGAGCCAGTCACTGTCAGTCAACCAAAGATTGCCAGCAGCAAGGTTCACATTTGTGAAGTTTGTCAATTGTCACGTGTTAATATTATACAATTGCATGGAACCCACCCAACATTGACAGTCAGTCAGTCAGTATTTCCAGCCATCATCCAGACCAAGCTTCCACAACTCAAGCGCCTTCTCTGGGTCAATGAGGCGCAGCAACCAAAGAGCCTTGGGCCAGACTACAACTGACACTGTTTGTCCACAACTGTGTCCAATTTCACAAAACATATAACTGACATACTCATTGACCATCACCATTGCATTAATATAAACTCAAAGGGACTTGCTGCGCTTGCCTTATTATTGGCGCAATTGAACACACTCGCAGATGATTCACTCAAGAAACCACACTCGCCAAGGAGGGCTGCGCAACATGACATTCTTCCCAAAGTCATGAGAGTAAACTGCGACTCCAAAATATAGTGAGTGAAGCCATGATAAATTAAACACCCATTCACAAAGCAATGTCATTCTAACAAGACTTTGAAGCCAATGATTGGGCCAAGCTGCCGGTCCAGGGTCCAAACACCGTTGTTGCCACCGTACACAGAGCGCACTGACTCCAGCTTCTCGACCACCACAGAGGTTGTGGTAGGTGAAAAAGACATCCAACTACCACTGACCACTTGGCTTGGAGTTGAAATGCGAGTGACTAGTTAATTTTATGGTCAATGCCCATGCACCGTTGACACAATTGTCTGATATGACATGACTTAGTTGCGTTGATTAAACATGTCCTTCCATGTCAGTCTGAGCCCAAACTAGTGACTACAAACATGACATGAGTATACTGCTGCTTTTAGTTAGTTTCAAGACAACTTGACTGAAAAACATGTTGACAAGTGAGGCAAAGCAAACTTAGAAACACCTGACAATACGGAGTGGCCCCCACCTGGTGAGGGCGGCCACCGCGCGTGCGCAACACCACCTGAAGTCAATATTGAGTCATCAACCACCCGCACCCCAATCACAACTGACATGACTACATGAGTCTGTGTGCAACTAACTGACAACAACAAACAACAGCAAACAAACTCCAACACAACAACATCAAGTGGATTCAGCGTGGCATGAACTCTGACTCATGACATGACATGACATGAACTGCTTGAATGAACTGAGGCTTGGGCAAGCTAACTTGGTCTCGAAAAGCCGGGCTGTGCCTGGTTGCCTATACTATATTTACTCCAATTAGTTAGTTACACAGCTGACTGTAGTTACTTACAGCTGACATTTAGGGTCAATACAGCTGACATGTCACAAGCATCCAACATCCATCTCATCACAACCGTCATAATATACTACAACTGACAGTGAGAGTTGCCGCAAGAGAAGCGTTCCATCACGTTGAGCCATTTGAGAACATTACGAAAATTGTATATTTCTGCATTTTTGATTTTTTTGATTTTACTTGATTCTTTGATTTTTTTGTCAAATCTTATTTGATCTCAAAAGGTGAGATTAAATTACCCCACCAATTTCCTTCCTATCTAAAAGCCCTCCTAGCTGATATATGTATAAATCCTGGTGAAAATCTAAGGGAGGGCAACGCGACCACGTATGCGTTGTTCTGCCTTGTCTCGCACCCACCTTTGCTCACTCAGACGCAGCGCGGTCAACGCTTTTGTCACTAAGTGTTTGGATGGTGCGTTGGGTTTCGGGTTCAGCTGCACCTTTTCAGGGGTCCAGATGGATCATCTTTCCCGGAGCTGCATCAGCGCCGTGGTCTCCTCTTCTGGACAAAAACATGAGAAAGCCTTCACTCATGCTCATGACAGAGGGAGAGATCTGTCAAAATCGGCTTCCTAAGCCACTGCGTCGAGTTGCTCTGCTTCAGCCAAGCTGTGAAATGTTCAGCTTGGCGCGTTCCACCGCCAGGGCGACAATCTTGAACCAGTGTGACGCAGGTCAAAGGAATCACCTCAGCATCCAGGCAGCATGGCAAATTCAGTGAACGTGACCTGACGGGGTTCAGCGCAGGATTCTTGTCGTAAAAATGATGACCTCGTACATGTCAGAGACCTGCAAGCGCGTGAGTCCAGCTGGAATCCAGATTTGGAATCCAGTCCTGGAATCCAGTCGGAAGCAAGTGATGGCCCGAGTGTCTGACAGACACACCCCATGCCTCTTGAGGTGAGGCGGCGCAATAGACGCTAAAATCTAGCGTGCGGAAAGGTCGAAAGGTCGCGCTGCAACTCGACAACAAATGTTATAAACATGGTATTTCATATCTCCACCCATCAAACACATACACTCATCCACTTTCATTCCTCCCCCTTCCGCGACCTTTTAATAAAAATGCTTTCTTGTTTTCTGTGAAGAATTCCCTTCCTTCGCCAAGAGGCAAGGCCGCCAAAGAGAAAGGACATGCCCAAAACCAGCAAGACATTCGACAACACTGAGCCTGTCGTCCGTGTCTGCAACATTGTGAGTCGCACCCGGACAACATCTGGAACATGGAGTGGAGAAAGAAAACTGAATACGAAACAACTTTGACAACAAATACATGCCGTTTTCCGAAGTTCTCATCTTGTGATCACGGTTACGCGCGCCTAGGAGTGTGGCTTTGACGACGGCGTAAAGGCCGCCTCGAAGAGTTTGCACCTGGCCATTTCGCGAGGAGGCCGAGAGGCGCACCGTTATAGAAACAGTCCGCCAGTCTTTAGAGCTCGCTTTCGAGGTGTCAGCACCAGCGCCGACTTACAACACCGTGCCCTTGCGAAGCTTCGGCGCGGTCACATGTTCAGCTTGACAGCCGACGCAGAACTGAACCTTGCGTGAAAGAATTCTCGGGTTCCTTCCACGATTCCCTGGAGCATTCTCACTGAGAACGCAGCAAGCAATCATATTCGTCTTTTTGACTTTGTTTTTGGTCACGTCGGCAAATGATGTTCGGACAGGGACTGCCCTCAGGGCAAGTGTTGGAGACGAGAAAGAGCTAGAAACGGCTATGCTACCAAAGCGCAAGCATGTTAATGATGCCTCAGGCCGTGTCAAACACTATAGAACAAGCGCTTTAGTGAGACCTTACATGTTTCCGCCAAAATGCAGTGGGTACCAGCGTTTGGGCGTAAAATTCGATATGACTATCAATAAAGACCCCGCCGTCCAGTCCACACCAGTCCGTTTGGTTTCTCGGATCGCGTTCACGTCGAAAATCATCTTGGGCCGGCCGTAATCACCATCTCCACGGCATTGCCGAAAGTTGCCTCAAGCCACATAGATACAGATTGCAACAACTTACAGCAACGCCCACTTAATTACAGCCAAAAGAAAAACTTTTCCTTGCAGTCCAAACCGTTTCGACATTTGAACCGAACGGATCGTCGCAAGGAGTTGAACCCAAAGAAACCTTGAGCGCCTGTGCCAAGGCCTGACCCCTCACTTTTGCTAGTTGCGACAAATTCACAAAAACCCATTATGTAGCCTCCCAAGAGGGACGGAATCAACAAATTCCTCCCTTTACATTGCACCAGCATAGGCCCAGTTAGCTAGGCAGAATTTCCACGACCTGTTGACGCGCGGCTGGCTGGAACAAGAACGCGCAATGTACATTCAAGCCTGCGCAGCCAGCTTTTCCCGCGCAACCAAGCCGACACCAGCACCAGCGCCAGCACCCTGTCTCACCAGCACGCATTGCCACCTGACAACACTGGCAGCGGTACCAGCGCCAGACCACCGCCCGACCAGCGCTGCCGCCCGTCTCAAACGAGTGCGCAGCCAGCTCACAGCACAAGCAACAGCGCCCAGGACCCACACTGTCTCGATAGCGCGCGGCCCACAGCGCCAGCACCAGCACTGACACCCTCTCGAAAGCGCGCGCAGCCAGCTCATTCTTGTTTGACAATTAAGAACCCCCTAGCTATTCAAACTCTAAAGTTACATCATCTTCACGCGCTAAGGCATCATACGGACATTCGCGCAAAGCTCCATCAACCACATCCACCGCTTTGGAATGAGAGCGTGCGCTCCAAAAGTCAACTGCCCCGCAGTGTCTCCACCACCCGCACAGCCAGCGCCAGCGCCCAGCGCCGGCGCCCTGTCTCCGCCACGCGCACAGCGAGCACCAGCGCCCAGCGCCGGCACTCTGTTTCCACCACGCGCACAGCCAGCGCACAGCACCGCGCCAGCGCCCAGCAGTTTCCACCACGCGCACAGCCAGCTCACAGCGCCCAGCGCCGGCGCCCTGCCTCCACCGCGTGCACAGCCAGCACCAGCGGAACGCGCGCGCCCGGGCAGCGGCGCCCTGTCTCCACCGCACGAGCAGCCAGCGCACAGCGCCCAGCGCCAGCACCCGGCACCCTGTCTCCGCCGCGCGCACAGCCAGCGCCCAGCAACGGCGCCAGCGCCGGCCCCCCCAGCACCCCGCACCCTCATTGGTTTTTGAAATAAGAACACCATAGCTGTCGCTATCTCGGGAAATATGTAATGATATGTAGTGTATTCTTTTAAGGTTGTCCGAAGCCCAGCAGCTTCCCCTTCAGCTTCCTTTTGGCTAAGAGTCATTAATAAGTCCTGCGAGAAGATCATTGCGTAGGCCAGCTGCAAGCTCCTGCCACCGCCCCGCTTTGCTGCCAAGTTCAACAGGGTTGACAAGCTTGCTGTTCAAAAGATACCAATGTTGAATTCCATGCGGCCACACATCAAAGCATTCAACATGATTTTCCTCTAATCACCGCCCCTCAATACACGGCAACAAAGCGCATGTAAAGTTGTCAGCGCTGCAAGGCTTCAATTTTAGTTTGTCGCTTCATGGTGACCTATAGTGAGTCTCAATTTCAACGCTTTCGTTGAGACCTTTGAGAACACGCGTGGGCAACCTACACTTGGCATTTGATGTAGGACTTCACAAAAGAAGGGGCCGGCTATCAAAAAATTGTTATCCAAAAAGTTGGTATCTTATATCAATAAGAGAATTGACTATATCAAAAACAAAATGCAAATTCATAAAGGGCCGCGCCTGCCGAACGCCTTGGCAGGGATGTGAATCTTGATGCGCAAACTTCGTGGCCCGTGGCAGGCGCGGAAGTTTGCGCACTGGAAGTCCAGATTTCGTGGCAGGCGCAGCACTTCGTGAACCTCGAAGCGCAGGTTTGGTGGCAAGCGCAGGCCTTTGCGAACCTTGAACTACAAATTTCGTGGCAGGGACAGCGCCTCAATGAGCCTCGAAGTGATTTTTTCTTGGCGAGCGCGCAGATTCCGTGGCAGGCGCAGCGATTGTCAACCTCGAAGCGCAGATTGCGTCGCAGGCGTAACATTCAAGACCTCTGCAAAGAGTCTTACTATTTGTGGATCTGAAGACCTCTCGACCTCTCTCTGCGTCTCAACGCCTTTCTGTATCCTTCTGGATCTCGGCCTTTAGATCTTTCCCAAGTCTGGGTTCCTGATTTCAAGACCTCTATAGACCTCTGCAATTTCTGGGTAGACCTCCGCACGATCAAAAGGTTTGCTTCGTAGACTTTCTAGATCTCAAGACCTCTAAACCTCTGCGTTTTTAGATTTGTGAGTTTCTAGACCTCTGCACCTTCAGATTTGTCTGGATCTCCAGGCCTTTGGGATGCATCTCAACCGTGATCTCTACATCTCCAGACCTCTAGATCTCTTTAGATGGATCCCACTCTGACTTTCGCGATCTCTGGACCTGTGATGGCTCGCAAAAGTTCTGCTGCATCAATGGCACCTTCCTCCCCTAAAGTTTACTCTCAAGTACCTCACAAAAGGTCTGCTAACCACCGCGTGGATCACAAAGGTCTACGACTCCTCTGAACTTTACTCACCAAGTCTGCTGGCGTGGCACCTCCTCCTCCAAGTTCTATCCTCGGGCGGCGCGCAAAAGGTCTGCTACCTTGGAATAGCACCTTCCTTCTCCAAATTCTACCCTCGGGTTGCTCGCAAAACAAAGGCCTGCTATGTTGGAATGGCAACTTCTTCTTCTAAATTTTACCCTTGCAAGGCTAACAAGAGGTCTGCTGCGTTGCAATGGTTCCTTCCCCGTCTAAATTTTACACAAAATGTTTGCTACCTTGGAATGGCACCCTCCTCGTGTAAATTTTACTGTCGGTGGCTCACAAAAGGTCTGCTATACGTCTGGTGATCCGATAGAGGGTCTGCTGCTATAGTGCTTCGCAGGATGTATGACCAGGAGATTTCCAAACCAGGGCCTTGACGCGCCTTGCCTCAAAAAGTACAGACGCGCGGGCCCCAAGACGAAGGGATGAGAGGAAAAGGGCCAGAGGACAAACAAAACACAGGACCAAGGGACAGAGGACCAGGTAAGCAGCTTGATGCGCATGCATGTTCTTTGTTTGGTGGGACCCTTTCTTTATTGATTGGAAAAACCTTTTGAAAGGTATCCCTTCGCAACTGTTAATGGCTCGCCCATTTTGCGTCTGCAAGGTTCACATTGCGTTCGCTGAGGCCTTTTGAACAATTCAAGAGAGAACTGAGCTGACTGAGTTGAGCTTTACGGCCTCTCGACCTCTGAATGTGTTCAAGATGCGCTCCACCATTCTTTAAGAAGACGTTAAAACGTTGCCGCCGCACAGAGGATTCACACTGACTTGGTACGCCATCTTGCGCGCGAGGCTTTTGGGAGATACATGTAGACCAGTTGAGCGCCCTGAAGACACTTGTGAAGCTTTCCTCGCAAGATTACCACACAATCCAGATTCGAAAAACAATCCAAGATTCGAAAAACAGTGCGCGCAAGGGGACGTACTGATTCAATATAGATTTTCCACACCTTCCACATGTCTGGCAACACCGTTGTGTACCAATGGTGGAACATGAAGACATTTGCTGCGGGTAGAGTTTGAGACGTTCCAAGAGAGGCCTAGAAACAGTACAACCCAACTCAGTCAGCTAAAGAGGCTGATTTGGATATTGCTGCCCCTTGGCCGCTCGTGGTTTCGACAAGAAGAATGCGTCAAACATAGTAAACACAACGCGATAGTGTTTTGGGCTTTCCCACGCTCATGAACGCTGACGACGTGACAACTTTAATGACACTTTAATCGTAGATGTCAGCGGACTTCCCACAGTGCGTGTTACTGAAAAGGCGCAACACATCTGTTGGTGTAGAGGCTCTATGTTCAAATACATATTTCGTTGAAATAAGCCAATAAGAGCTGTTTGAAAACTCAAAAGTTATTGTGTTTTTGAATACACATTCTTGATGTAAAATAACAAAGCTTATTGGTTTCCAACGTCACAAAAGCAAAAAGTTCCTAGTTTTGTGCACTGAAGCTTTTGGATTTCAACATCAAAAACTTAAGGCTCCCAGCTTTGAATCTGCCGGTCGCAGGTCAACGATCGCACGCAACATTTCTTGAGCCACGAACGGGGGCATGTGTTTATGCCTTTGGTATGATCTATGCGCACATCCATCAATGAACTCTAGGTTCACGAACCGCAAGTAAAGCAACGTGAAACGATATTGACCCGGGAGGTCATCTGGACATGACTCTGCAAAGTCACTACCAGCACCTTTCAAACTGGATTGCCCATTTGGATTGGAACGCTCAAGTTGCTCGTTTTGTTACCGCTTTGGAGTTGTTGGTGGGTAGGACTATGTGCGTGTCCTTTTTTCGCTTTGTTCATGGAAGTAGCTGCAGCAGGGCTCGAGATTGCCTATTCTAGGAGCCACTCCGGTCCCAGCCGATCTCCAGCCATACGGTCCCCGCGCTAGCATAAGCGTCTGAAATATAAGAGGCACAAGGCTAGAAGGGTGCGAGGCCTTGGGGGAGAGCGAGGGTCGCTGAAAGATAAGGAAATCTTTGGCTGTATTTCTTGGTCACCATACTAGGCCCAGAACACCACATTGTTTCTCTCCATGGAGATACGATGTCATGGAGGGCGCAGCAGAATCAATGGAAAGACTGGAGCAAATGGACCCCCCAGCAAAAGCCTATGGAAGGCGACAAGAAGAAAGCTCAGCAAAAACAAAAAGCCCTGTTCCAGGCTACGACGGCAAGCCAGTCAAGGTAGAAGGCCAAGACCTCTCGTATGGCTGGCTCTTCATCATCGGCAGCCTCTGGGGAGGCTTCGCTAAAGGAGGAGAACCGCAAATTGAGAGAGGCAATGAGGTTTATAGTCGATCATATTACCCCTAGTAATAGGCTCGAAACGAGTTATAGATTTTGTAGCACCCTATAGATCAGCTGAGGTTAAAAACAACCTCTGAGGTTATTTTGTTTCCTGAAGTTAATTCTAACCTCACTGAGGTTATTCGTAAGAATAACCTCACAGTTTCTGCTGTTGTTCTAGAAAATAACATCAGAATGGTTTACAGCGTGGGCTGTCAAGACACTTGTTTTTCACATTGACACCTTGAGGTGGATTTGTGAAAGTATTTGTAGAACATATGTGGCACATGAGTTTGTGCTAAATGTATTTGTACATGTCTTTGAATACTTTGGTCAGAACATGAAAACTGTGGCCAGGATGTATCTTTGTTGCCACATGTTGGCACACATTCTTTGGGAGATGTTGTGGCACACATGAATCAGAACTACTTGGAAGTGAACGAATGCAATTTTCTTTGCGTGGGGAAATGAAGATTGTGTTTTTTCTTTGCAGCCTGTCACATGTTGGCACACAATCTTTGGAAGAAGTGCATTTGATTCCTGGGGTCATATGCACATCTCACCATGAAATCCTTTGAGAACTATATGTGTATTTCATTGATTTTGATGTGTTTTGCTGACACACTCTTGTGAAGATGTACATGTGAACCTTTTTGACTTATGCGCATTTCGTTGTGGTGCCTTGTGAAGACTATGTGCATTTCATTCCTTTTGAGCTGTTTCCTGTTTCCATGTACAGTCTTTGGCACATGGACTATGCGCTTTTCATTGTGGAACCTTTTGAAAACTATGTGCATTTCATTCCTTTTGAGCTGTTTCCTGTTTCCTTGTACAGTCTTTGGCAGATGGACTATGTGCTTTTCATTGTGGAGCCTTTCGAAAACTATTTGCATTTCATGTCTTTTGAGCTGTTTTCCCACCAAGTTTTCCTACCAGGTTTCATTCCTTTTGAGCCATGGCCCCCAAAGGCAATGTGAATTGCAGGCTGAAGCCTGATCCAGCCCTGGGCCTCAGAGACCTCATGAAGCCTATCGTGGACTGGCTTCAGGAGAAAGGGGGCCATGACATGTTGACTTTGCTTGAGCCTGCCACTGGAGAAGTTACTTGGAAGACAAGGCCCCTGCCAGATTGGCTGGCCAATTTGATTCCTTTGCTGAGGAAGCTGGTTGCTGTAGGTAAGAAATGCATCTTCCCACAAAAGAAAATGCAAGAGGCATTGAAAAAAAATCCAGGCAGACCATTACAGAATCAACTTTTCCAGGCTCAGGGATGATCAGTTCATTGACAAATGCTCATTGTACATCCGGGCTGCATCCCAAATGAGGGACTTGAAAGCCAAAGGGGATGTTTACCAAGGGGCAATGAAAAGGGCTTCTCAAGGAAAAGCAGGCACTTGATGATTTGCTTGATGAAATGGTTTTGCCACATGAGAAGGAAGAAGAGGCAGAACTGAGGGAGAGGTTCAGGTGTCCAAGGGGCCTGCTAAGAAGATTGGCCCTGGCCCTTGTCTAAGCCCATCCAAGACCATTTTCAGGAGGATCCTGACCAAGAGCCCAAGCAACCCAGACCCACCAAAAGAAACCT